ATGCAAACTCCACTCAGAAAGGGATTCGAACCCAGGACCTTGTTGCTGAGAAGCGAGAGTGCTATCCAATCAGCCACCGTGCCACCCTTTTAGTTAGAAGGGGCAGAGTGAGATGTTAGAAGCTCCCGATGGTAGCATGGGTGGATCTAAAAATACCACTCCAAGTCTGTTTTTGAGGTAAAAATGTTGTAACATGGTCAAAAACTCTAAAAAAAAATTCATTAAACGCCTCCTTTAAATAATTCAGAAACTCTATGGTGGTGGTACAGGCTGTAGAGACTAGAGGACACAGGCTGTAGAGACTAGAGGACACAGGCTGTAGAGACTAGAGGAAGAGACACAGGCTGTAGAGACTAGAGGACACAGGCTGAAGAGACTAGAGGACACAGGCTGTAGAGACTAGAGGACACAGGCTGTAGAGACTAGAGGACACAGGCTGTAGAGACTAGAGGACACAGGCTGTAGAGACTAGAGGACACAGGCTGTAGAGACTAGAGGACACAGGCTGTAGAGACTAGAGGACACAGGCTGTAGAGACTAGAGGACACAGGCTGTAGAGACTAGAGGACACAGGCTGTAGAGACTAGAGGACACAGGCTGTAGAGCCTAGAGGACACAGGCTGTAGAGACTAGAGGACACAGGCTGTAGAGACTAGAGGACACAGGCTGTAGAGACTAGAGTACACAGGCTGTAGAGACTAGAGGACACAGGCTGTAGAGACTAGAGGACACAGGCTGTAGAGACTAGAGGACACAGGCTGTAGAGACTAGAGGACACAGGCTGTAGAGACTAGAGGACACAGGCTGTAGAGACTAGAGGACACAGGCTGTAGAGACTAGAGGACACAGGCTGTAGAGACTAGAGGACAAATATGTAGGGAAATACTACATGTTTTCACGGTCAGTTTTTGCTCTGTTTGAGTCCCTGGGAACCAGAAAACGATTAATCGATTACTAAAAATAGTTGTCGACTATTTCAATAATCGTTTAGTCGTCAATTAATCGATTAGTTTGTTTCAGCCCTAATGAGAAGCGGTGTTGAAGTCTGTACCATTGTCTATGAACTTGTCTGATCCCAGTCCCTATGGACTACAGTCTCTGGACCAATCACAGCTGCGCACTCAAGACCACACTAGTTTTCCTCTGACTTTAAACACAGGTAGCTCTATATTTATTCTCAAAATCAGTTTGATGATGTTTTGGGAGGGTACACGGATCCCAGGAGAAGACAAGTAGCTTCTCACAGGCCTGTCACCCACCCCACCATCACACACACACACACTTCCGTCCGCCGAGCCTCACACTAGCGCGGAGCGCCAAGCACGCCCAATCCCAGAGCCAAATAGCCACAAACGTCCCCCTCTATATATATACGTTGGGGGGGGGGGGGGGACCATGACCACACAATGCAAATACTATACATCAAACACACACACACTCTTGGGGTCCAATGGTAATACATTTCGTATATTAGTTTGGAGATGTAACAGAGCCTAATATTCTTTACTTGTCATGTGACAAACATGTAGACCAGGGGTGGCCAAAAACTAACCCGCGGCTCGTGAGCCGCATGCGGCTCGTTTGGCTGGTTCCGTGCGGCTCTCGGGCTTTCACATCGACAAGCGTCAAAAACGCCTCGGGTGGGCTGCCTTTCATATCTCGATGTAGTTTGCTGAACCATAGTAAAGGCGACGCCTCCACTAGCCAGGCCGCCAAAACACAATCTGACGTCGGCGAACGTCAATTCTGATTGTCAATGCGCTGTCAATCACGCTTTGCAAGCCTCCACTGTTGCAAATATCATAACAAACAACACGTGCCTCGACCCATGACGTCCGGACGGAAAACTAGTCCTGGTCGCTGATGAGGGCAACACCTTCCTCAGTTTTGAGAGAGGACACCAGCGTGAGCTCGATGGTTCCACCAGAATACATGAAGGTGTTTGTGGAGCTAGCGCTAAGGACGGAGCAGAAGATTCCCACGAACATAACAATGCAGAGAAAAGTTAAAAAAAGCTGACAACCGTGAAATGAAAGATCACAGCAGCAGAGTAGAGCAATACCCGAAAAAGTCTGGAGGTGGTTTGACCAAATGATTAATTTACGGACAATCGGCTAACACCGGCTAACATGCTAAAACCAGCTAGCACCACTACACCAGGAGATAAGCCAACTCTGCCTGGTGAGTGTCTGTCTTCAATCAAATGCAAAACTATCTGGTCTTATACTGAACATTGTCTGTGATGTGGTTTCTGAATCAGCAAAATTGGTGTTGGTGTTATGTGTCAAATCTATATCTTTTGCTAAACGCAGTCAGAGAGTGAATCATGGGTTTCGATAAAGACAGTTGTGTTTCTGCTGAATACTGGTTTGAAACTTGCTTTTTTCATGTGCGGTATCATAAGTGATGTTAACGCTGACGATGATATTGGTTTCTGGGATCAACTCGCCCGGTAGAACTAATAAACAGGCCAAACCATTAATTAGAAGTACCGGCGGAGACGGTTTATTGCGTGCGGTGGACAGCCGCCTATCAACACGGGGAGAGTCGAGTCCAGCACTTTATACTCGTACGAGTCCAATTTCTGTCATTAAATCATGTTGATACATTTCAATAAATGCTGTCGGAGCAGCGGTGTGGTGTGGTGGTGCACGCGCGTGTGTGCGTGTGTAAGGGATGGGGTGATGTGTTATGTTAGTGCCACCGGGTTTTGTTATGATGTGGCTCTGTGCGGTAACACTAGCAAATAAAATTGGCTCTTAGTCCGTGACTGGTTGGCCATCGCCCTGATGTAGACCAGCCTGAGAGATTAAAGCCGGATTGCAGGTTTGCTACTGCTGCCTAAACTCATTTCAAACACTCACGGAGTGAGTTAGCCATGCTTCCAATCTCATTTTGAAACGCATGAAGGGGTTAGCTCTGCTCTCTGAACTCTTATTAGCGACTCAGGAAGTGATTGCTCAGCGTCTTCTAATTAATTCTTGAACACAATAAAGAAAGAAGTGGCCTAGCTCTGCCTGCTACGTTCATAAGTTTGGAATTACATGTGTTAGTGTAGTTTTTAGTTTAGTCTTTATTTGAGAAGGGACAATGTTACTCGAGACATGAAGCTCAAAGGACAGATATAATGCTGCACCTGATTGTAACTAAACAGCCTAGTTTCCATCTGTATCCCCTGGTTGGACCATCAATGTACCCTAATGAACAACCGCTGCGGGGTGTTGTTGCATACGTAGGTCAGAACATTCTAAGGAACACTCCACAGAAGATCCTGTAGTTGGGGACTTAAGCAGAGTCAAAGGACTTGGGCTGCGGTGGTCCGGGGGGTCTGGTTTTGAGGAGGTCACTGGACTGGCGGCCGTAGGAACCAGGGACTGCGGCTGTAGACCCCGGCGACGGCGGCGTGACATAGGAACCCAGGCCTGCGGCTGGAGACCCAGGACTGCGGCTATAGGACCCAGGACTGCGGCTAAAGAATCCAGGACTGACGGCTATAGAACCCAGGATCATGCGCGGCTGAAGACCCAGGACTGCGGCTGTAGACCCCGGACGAGCGGCGATAGACCCAGGACTGCGGACTCCTCTGTAGATCCCAGGACTGCGGCTTTTATAAAAAAAAACGAAACCCAGGACTGAGGCCTATAGACCCGGACGCGGGCTGAGGAGTCCCTGGACTCGGGCTGAGAGGAGACCCAGGCCTAGCGGCTAAGAGACCCATGACCTCGGGCTGAGAGAATCCAGGACTCGGGCTGAGGAGACCCAGGACTCGGCTGAGGTAGATCCAGGACTCGGGCTGAGGAGACCCAGCGCTGCGGGTCTGTTAATAGACCCAGGACTGCGGCTATAGACCCAGGACTCGGGCGGAGGAGTCCCAGAGTGGAGGGTTCTGCGGCTATCAGACCCAGGACGCGGCCTGTAGACCCAAGACTGGTAGACGCCAGGGAGCTGCGGCTATAGACCCCAACGCAGCTCGGGCTGTGGAGACCCTGGACTGTGGCTGATTGACCCAGGACTGGGCTGTAGACCCAGCAACTGCGGCCTATAGACCCAGGACTGCCGGCGTATAGACCCAGAGACTGCGGCGATTGTACCCAGGACTGCGGCTGTAAGACCCATGACTGCGGCTGTGGACACCAGGACTGCGCTGTAGACCCAATTGACTGGCGGCGTTAGACGCCAGTAACTCGTGCCGTGCCACGACCATAGGGGGCGTATCAATCTTGTTGGGAATTGAGTGTTTTTGGCCCCGACACAGATTGTTCACTATTTGTTGAGCTGTCTGGGGGACATGGGGGAGGTGTTGGTGGTGGAGCTGGTTTTGCGCCGCCCTCTACAACACTATAGAGGCATGGTGAAATGTGGGACGCAGTAAAAAACCTCTCCCCATAGTTTCCTCAGGTCCCTAAGATTGAAGGGGTGGTTAGACATAGGTCCTCATTTGGCCATATAACTAACTTACACACACAACACACACACACACTCTTCTCGCTCCGCCTAGAGAGGCCGGACAATGTGTGTGGATTGGCTCTGTACTGGCGCCAAATAAGCCTCAAGGGATCACCCTTCCATCTATTCTCAATACTATGCTGTGTTTGTGGGTTGACGGTATAGATACTTACTCAGTCGGCTCTGGGTTCTTATAGAAAGAAGGAATTTCATTGTATCGGCGAACGAGCAGCTGTTCCCTTTAGGGTAATCCCAAATGGATGACCTACCTCTCCTAGCGTAGAGGCTTGGCCCCATTTTGTACGTACTCGGTCGCGCTTGGTGGCGCCGAAGTTACGTCGACACCGCTTGCCTTTGCTTGTTTCGCGCTTGGGCATACATGCTTGTTATCGGGGAGCCGAACAGTTCCTCGTCATCCTCACGCGTGTTAGTTCGATTTTGAATATACCGTGCGTCCGTCCTCGTGGGCCTGCATACCCGCGGCATACCACTTAGGCACTCCGCGGTCTCCTCGGCCGCTGACTGGCTAAGCCAGAACTTATCGAGATCACAAAATGGCGCCGCCTGCACTCATCTGCGGCAGCGTTCTCAGACTTGTACACTATGACCAGACAGACGGTAGTGCCGCAGCACGTTTGTCCCGCCAGGCCCCCGTAGAGTGCGAGCTCGTGGTATTATTGAGGCCGCAGACCTGGCCCGCCCGTGTGAAGTGGGTGGTGAAGAGCTGGTCAATGGAGGCCCCTGGTGACTATATGCTCACGTGGTTTCACCGCTTTGACATGCGGTGTCTGGATTTACTTGAGTGTGCCTAACATCCTGCAACTACACCGTGATCTTCGCAGATCATAAGAAAAGCGTGGATGTTCTGTGTAGATGGGGGTTCTTTGCATGGGGCTGACACTATGGATGATAGAAAAGTGGTGATTCTTAGTCTAATATCTCGCCCCATTGCTCTGGGGAGGTTCGTTATAAGGATGGCGGCGCTGCGATGTGGCCCAGAAATTTGTATGCAAAGCACCCGCAATATATATTTTTTATTATATAGCATCGCCCCCAGTTGTACTATATAATGCAATTTGCAGTGCTCGAGTCATCTCATTGTCAACTCTTTAAAACAAAACAAATAAAAGAATATTCTGGTAAAAAATAAGATTGAGGACTTGTTATTGAGGATTGCATGTTAGGTTTTCCAATTTCTCCACGTTCTTTGCATATGGTGTGGCGCAAAAATACCAACTCATTTAAGAATCTGGAATAATCTTCCTGAAAATGTGAGTGAGGCTTCTCCTCTGACAAAAATCCAGGTTTAGCTGTGATTTCAACTGAATGATTGTATCTTCTCTCTTTTCACTGTGCTGTATTATTTATATATAAACAGGTTTGGTATCTCTGTGTTTGCACCAGAGAAGACGTGAGTTCAGGTTGTTAGAAAAGAGCATAACGTGTGTGGTGAGGGGTTTTACAGCCTTAAAATAACTGCAAACTGCTACTTCACGGATTTCTGCGGGTCATTGAGGGACCACAGTGGTACAAGAAATAGGTGGAATAAGAAAATGAAAGATAAATAAACCAATAAAAAAGCTGGTTGATGTTAGTAATAATCTGTTTTTTGTCAATGTGTTTTTCCAGTGGATTTGAAAGATGCATCATGGTTAAACCTCCATTGGTTTGAGTTCAGTCGGCTAAACTAAACAAATGGGGCACAATACTTTTGAGTAACTGCTAGAAAAAATGGCGTTGTATAATCTCAATTGCTTTTAATTAAAAAATCTGATTTCTCAACCACTCTACCGGTTGTAGACGTCCCAACAGACTATACTGTCATAGACTACACTGTAACTCTAGGGTGAACATATTCTGGTGGGACTGGGGGATTCCTCTAATCTAAGTGTTTTGTGTTCTATGTGTCAAAGTACAAAAAGGCTTTATTCCTGATTCAAGTTAGTTTCACCTTGTGTTCTTGTCAGACAGGAGCAGAACATGGCGTGAGGCTTCATAAAGGGATTCTTTCTTTCACAAAGCTCTTTGTTGTCTGCAATATAAAGGAGTAAAAGGGCATATTGTCGTCCTTTGAAAATATATGTCTGAAAGTGTGTCTTCAAAGAGTCCATGGACCCTGTTTTCTCCACGTCCAGGAGCAAAGTTTGTTGTTTCCTAGTAAATACATGTTGTCAAATTTGCTCATAACGCAATAATGTCACTTTTCATGTCCTAAAAAGTGTGTACACAAAATGTAACCAAAATGACAATGAATCCCAATAATAATCAATAACGTTGGGTAAGTTACTTTGAAAATTCAATAAGTAAGTAATGTTTTTTTATGTAGCGCATTTTACCGACCAAGGTCACCCGCTTTACCATGTTCCGAGTTCAGATATTGTTCCAATCATTCCACACACGGTGAAGACAAAAGCGAGTCGCCGAACACACTGACGCATCAGCCCCAATCAACACCATCCATTCACTCTCTCATTTACATTCATGCCTATTGTGAATGTTTTTTTTTAGTGGTAGGGTAAACCGGAGCACCCGGAGGAAACCTATACAGACACAGGGAGAACATGCAAACTCCACTCAGAAAGGCCCTGTTCCTACCGAGATTTTAACCCAGGACCTTCTTGCTGAGAAGCGAAAGTGCTATCCACTCAGAACAGAATCAAGTGTCATATAAACATACAATCTAGCTGAAGTTGGCTGAATGATGATGAAGTAATGGGCGGACTGTAACACAAGTAAAAAATCTGATCTGTCAAGAAATATTACTTATTTGTTTTTTCCCCCGCTGTAATAAAAATAATTCTAACTGTTGAATTTTAATTTTAGATTGTATATATTATGTATGTATTATGTATCTATGTATATGTTATATTTTTATATGATTTTCATGTTTGACTTTACGAAAGATTTGCCAATGCAACGAGCAGTTCAGTTTTGAGTGTTGTTTGTGCGTAGGATAGACTGTGAAACATGAAGAAAAGAGAAATATGGGACCTTTAAGTTAAAGATCGAGATTTTATTTTATTTTGTGCTATACTTAATATTCACTATGATGTTTGCTCCTCATTCTACTGTTCTGTAACTTGATACAACACTGATATTTCCCCTCTGTGGAGTAATTACATTTTTTAATCTTAATCTAAATGGTGATCGACCGGATGTCAACAACATTATATAAAAACGACCTGATGTCAGCAACGTAATACAGAAAAGGACAATCTCGTCTCCAGCCCCTGCCTTCCTCTCAGCTCTGGATTTCATGTGTTCCTTGTTTATGTTTGCCAAAGCTCCACTGCAAAGACTGAATCTTTTCTCCGCTTTCATCTGTCACTTCAGACACTTTATTATTTTTCTCATGTGGAACATTTGAAGACGAAGAAGAAGAAGAAAAAAGACTATAATGACCATCTGTTCATTGAAATGACGGACTGGGACCCGAAGTGCTGCAAAGGCACATGGAGAAGATGCTGACAGACAAATCCAAGATTACCCAAAGTAACAGTGTCTATAAAGTCAGCAGAATATCAATTGAAAAGATGAAAAGAGACACATTTTTGGTTCAGCAGAAATAGCGAAATTTAAAATCTAAATAGCCACTATCAACTTTATGGCCAAATTCATTCCTCAATATAAAATTACTTTTGCCAGTTTGCCTTTACCCCCAAATTGCATATTTAAGATTAATGTTAAAACGTGGAAACTGAAATGTGATATAATTTATTTTTGCTGCTACTTCTTAAAAAGTATTTCTGAGTTTATAAGTAATATAAATAAGAAGAATTAAAAGGGCCATAATATGCACTCTAAGTACATATTATGTCAGTACAATAACAATGTTGTTGTTAGAATGGTCCTGCCCCCTAAGCACTGACTATCGATGCAATCCACCTGCTGGAGTTAAGCTAGAAACAGGTTTTTGTTGAAATACAGTATGTACTTAATATGTACTATTAAGATAAGAAGATATTATTTTGGTTTTTGAATTGTGTTTTTAAATGAGAAAAGAAGAGTTTTTTAGTCGGCAATCCAAATAATGAGTGCCCAATCCAAGGCTCAACTACAACCACACTGACATTATCACAACACAACACAACACAACAACAACTTCATCCAAACGCAACCAGGGCTTTTTCCTGTACATTGTTTTAAGTTGTTCCTTGTAGATGCAGGGGAGTCTAAGGACAGTGATGATCCGGGACATTTAAGGAGATTTATGGACATTTATTCACCTTTTTGGTTAACATTTTTGCCTATGGTTTGTCTATGATGATTTGTGCTTTGTGTGGTGTGGACTGTAAAGCGCTTTGTGTTACCCAGTGTAGGAGAAGTGCTCTATAAATAAAGATTGATTGATTAATTGTCTGATCTGTGTTGCCAAACCTACAACATGAAGTCTTTTGAGATGACCACTGTGGTGATTCAAGACTTTGCCCTGGACTAAATCGGGTCTCGTGTAAAAAAAAAAAAAGTACGTCTAGAGCCCGCCTCACGTCCCGCTCTCATCACACCATATGTGTCACCAAAGTGACTTATGAAGCAGATTTACATAAACATGAGTCCATGATGCGTGCGATGGACAGAAGGAGGTGCTCAGTGGGAGACGGCTGGAAAAAGAAAGTGAACTCTGTGCTCTGAGCGATAGAGTCTCCTCTTGACATTTAAACATGTGAAAATACAAAAATATATTATTTCCGCCACTTAAGGCTGATGTTCAGGATCACCTGCAAAATGTGTAGCAAAGCCCTGTTCATCATGTATCGCTTTGTGCCACAGAGACATGCGTGCACATTGTGAGGTTAAAAATTATATTATTATAATTATACTGCACATGGCTAATAAAATGAATCTGAATCTGAAACTGCTTTCTACCTGTAACTCCCTTTGCTACCACCAGAGGGAGGAGTTGGATTTGTGATTGTTTTTCTTTCTTTATTTTTTTCAGGTTTGGAAGTTAACATTGATAAACACCGAAATCTTATTGTAAATATTGTCATTTTCCAGAGAAATTATCAAAAGCAATTTGCCAATTTGTGTGTTGTATGTTTTTCTGCAGTAGCTCAGTTGGTAGAGCATTGGCCTTTGAGCCTGAAGGTCGTGGGTTCGAGCCCACCATGTGACTGCTGTTGTTGTGTCCTTGGGCAAGACACTTAACCCCACTTTGCCTGAAGAGCGGCCATCCTCCGGTGGACTCACCACTTGCAGGAGGATCATTGAGGGGGTGGTGCTATGTGGACTGGGTGGCATCTCTGGCCACCCCCCCCCCCCCCCCCCCCTTGACCCAGAAATGGATTAAGGGGTAGAAAATTGATGGATGGATGGATGGATATGTTTTTCTTGATCTCTCCTACTGTATATTCTGTGTTTCACTGCATTAATGCTATTATCTTTAGAGAGACTATGTACACCTCTCCAGGGACTGCAGATGAAACCACTTGACAAATGCTGGTGCATTTCTCACAAATTTTTATTAATGCACAATGCCCCTGTGTCATACACCAATACAATAGAAAATGATGGTCCTATCATAGAGATGATCCTGGTCCTCACCTGGTCTTGTCACAGAGAAAGCCCTGTCTCCTCTGGTCTTCACCTGGTCCTATCATAGAGAAGCACCTGTCTCCTCTGGTCTTCACCTGGTCCTATCATAGAGAAGCACCTGTCTCCTCTGGTTCAGCCTGGTCCCTGAGGGAAGGTGAGACAGAAACAATGATATAAACTTTTATTCGGAGAGCGCCTCTCCTTCAGAAGGTAACACCAAGCGCCGCACAACCATATCACATCAGGCATGAATCATAAACCTAAAAATATGCGCTTT